ACGGAAGCCGCATACCCTTGGAAAGCTGGAAACTCCACACGGTGGCGTATCGTACATCTGACGAAAGAATAAAGGCATAAAAAGAACTGCAGGGGTTACAAGGAACATGGATACCATCTGCCACTCACGGTGAGCTGCAAGCGAAAAGATCGGCCAGGAAGGCCCCTGCTCGCATATTCCCGGTCATGATCTTGGACATTCATCTGCGGTCTGGAACCAACTGTCGATAGACGAAGAGGTATGTCAAGGATGCTCTTGGCCCGGTATTCTGCTGAATGTACCTACATACGATACGAGGTAGCAGGAGACGACCCACTGGTACTTTTGGTAGAATCGCATCAGAAGTTCAGGGCTTAATCGAACACGTATTCTCCTTGTTCGGTGAGGACGAGTGGATGAAAAGTGGGATCCCGTTTCTGATCTGGACTCGACATGGACTGAGAACCTGAGAGCTCAGACCCGGAAGAAGCCTGAGTACGGAGTAGATACAGTGACCTAAGGTAGGTAGTGACAAAAGAGTTCTTTTCCCAATCAAGAAGTCAGATGATGAGGGATTGATTGGTCCACGCTGGCTACGGTGTTGATGCCCCAGAAGAGCTGGTTCTACCATGGTCTTTTATTGCTTGGTCAAAGTTAATCAATGTCTAGCGAATGATATACCCACTTCCTACTCCGTAGACACAAACAAAAGAAAAATGCTCAGCAGGTTCATCTTCCTGTCTGGACTCGGGATTGTTGAGAATCAGCCTGGTCAGGAACGGGAGCGGTCCACTCTCAGTGGAGTTCTCATCTTCCATGACCCATCTTCCTGCAATGGAAATATAAGACAGTTAGGCTATTGGCCGTTAGTCTTTGGTTGGAAAGAACTATCTAAAAAGAAACAAGGAAAATACAAATCAAAGCCTGAGGAGCATCAAGGCACGTCGCTACGAGCCATGATGGAGTATGGCTTAGTCGCAAAGCCGCTGCAATGGAGAAAGAAAGGCAAAAAAGAACGAAATAATTGATCTTTAGAAAGGGATATTAATAATAATAATGCAATAAGAAAGGAAAAAGAAAATTCAAGTTTCACAGCACATTACAATCCGCTTCCATTGCCATCTATTGTTGTCGTTAAGCGCCTACCTACTCATCAACAGGTGACCCTAAGGGGTTACATTCAAAGCCTCCAATGATACTATTATTATTGCTCTTTGAAGATCGATCTTTACTCGTCTCTTCTCGCCTCCATACTGCACATAATCATATCCCTTGATTGCATGTCGTGAGACAGCTCACTACCTCTTCAGGGAATTGAACTTTCGGCTATCTTGAGCCGATGTTGATCAACATTGATGTGTAAAATTCGAAAATGTCCGATCCCGAGTCGATCGAACAAAATAGAAATAGTAGTACTAGTACTACGTCAATATCCACAGTGCTGTGGGTACTAGAGAACATTTCAGTGTCCCGTATGAACAGGTATGAATCGTATGACATCCCACAGATCTGATACCAATAAGGTTCATCGGGATGCCTGTTCCATGATTCCGTCTCCATGACTGCTGGAAATGGGAGGTTTGATCTCGACATTTGATCTTAGATATTATTATTATCATGCCGTTGTTGTTGATGATCAGAGGATCAGACACTAAGAGCCAATACTATGCAAGGGCGACCAGGTAGAGACGCTCGCTTAGAAGCTTTTTCGCCTGAGCTTTAGTGTTTAGTTTGACATGCATAAGCCGGAGGGCCTTGGAGTAGTGGCATGGGCGCCAAAATTCGGAGATCCCGCGTATGTTTTCCTTGCACCGCCAGTTCATGACATATCAGAATAGGATCATCGTCTGGAGTCTTTAGCCAATTTTCTTACCCGTTTCGGAAGATTCTACCGACTACGTTACAGCGCCTAAATGTCCGGCTGTTCGGAGAAAGAAGTCGAGCACGTAGCGATACACTTGCTTATGCGCTGAGAAGAGACATATCAATCTAGTCTGGCAACAGAAAATTGTCCTTCTATCGGCAGGATACTTGTCACCATGGGCTCTCTCAAAGTAGAAATCAGAGAAATACTGCTGAATGAAAGGTTAGTAACTTAGTACACATTAGTTGATGGAGCTGTAAGCAAATTATACCAGTTTAGGTAGTAAGAAGTCTTAGCCTCTCTAGCCTCTGTTTGCTTGATGTCTTAGATTTAGCAGAACGCTAGCATAAAAGAGCTCTAGCCTCTAGCACTATTTTAGTTTGTGCTCTTTTTCTTGTTAGTACTCGGTATTATGATAGTATGATCCCATCATGATGCTGTGATCGGCAGTGGGTTCCACTTCAAAGATGCAAGTTGCTCAACAAATCCAACAGTCACTGAAAGGATAGGTTGATAGGACATGCCAAGTAGCTAACAGTACGGAGCAATGGTGTGTGACTGTAGTCTATCCCCATATTGGTGATTATTAATAGAAATGAAAAAAAAGGAGAAATCATCAATTAATCAGTGACTAACTGAATTTGAACCACTTATGATCAGGGATCTCGACAACCCGATCTACCCGCAACAACAGAGATTGAGAAACAGGTTAGTGAGCCAGACTATCCTTAGCTTCCGTGATGTGTACCTGACCCAGAGCAACTCCAGACCAGTTCCCATGGAGTTTAACCTTTCTGGACAGGAGCATTACTCAGTGTTTGCCGGAACTGTCTTACTTGGTTTATTCTCAAGCAGTCAAAGGTGCTAATAAAGCAGGATTTGTGGAGGATGAATAATTTTCAATCAATAATACCTATGGAGGTAGGTAATAACGATGGACAAACCGGGTCCCGATGCAGGAGCGCCACAATCCCGGCTTCGATTGCTGCCTACCTACTTACTCCTAGCACCTACCAATACCTTCATGAGGTACTTTGTACAGGTTGGCGGACTGCATGTCTTCAACCTAGACTAAGAAGAAGATCCTGTCAAGGTACCCAGAACTATTTGCGTGGTCTCTCCTCCCTATTCCACAGCCTCGTCATCCGCCCTTCCGTTCTGGGTTCTAGGCTACGCCGACTGGCAGTCAATAATGGCGCTCTTTAAACCCCGTCTTGTGAAGCACATCCCAGCTTCACCAACTACTAAGCGGCAGCCACATTTCAATCCCGGCCACCTAAGTGCATCAGCGGCTGTAGAAAACAAAAGAAACAGAGAAGGCAGCACGTTCCATTTGCGCCCCCTCGATCGTCCGTCGGCTACGATGTCTTTCATACCTGATCCCTTTCAAGTCTACAGAGTACGGAGTCTTCTATGTGAACTTCGTATCTGTGACTTCACCCATGCGGTGATGATGAGGCTATGAGACATCTCGCCACTAGCGACAGGGAAGATCTAGAGATCAACGGAGACTCGTACTTTTAGTTCTCCTCGTCGCCAAACTCAATCGGGCAGTTGTATGGATCTGTGCCAATGCGGTCCTAAACAGACCTCACGTAGATAATGATTGGCAAATTCTGCCTGACACGTCAAAGGCTCGACTCTTAGCCTCTTAGGACTCTACAGCTCAAGGGGCTCTAGACCCAATCTGCGAGGCTGACTGGAGATGACGAGATCTCACGAGTCACGGAGTAGTAAAATCTTGGCTCTCAGTCAGAGTTCGTGAAGATGATGTGAGGCGTACCCGATGTACATGATCTCTTCGTGTTTGGGCTAGAATTCTGATGCAGAACGGGGAAAAAGAAACGGCAATGGGAAATGATGATTTGGAAGCCGCTCCCTCAGACACCGATTGAACTCGTTTTGAGATATTTGTATTCTTCGTAGCAATCCCTACAGCGAGTCCAGCAATTGCTGTGCGGTGTTCACTGTTGTACTACTTGGAATATGGCTCGGAATTCGGACCGGTCCTGATCGGATGGTGGAATAAGTCACAGTAGACTTCAACCAGAAAACAGGTAGAATACAATTGAGTTTTCCAGTTGGATCTACACTGAGCGGTTAATTCGCCATCAGTCTTATACGAGGCGCCGAAGTGAAAGTGAAGAAGTCTTCCTTTGGCCATGTGGGCAAGTCAGTTATGTAAAGCAAACTAGGGACGGAGTACCCAGAACGGACAAACCAGGCTTGATCTTATGCGCTGTTGGCCAGGGTTAATGCAAATGTTACACGGCACTTGCCCTCGTGTCAAGTCGGACATTTTGCCCACCGAGTCATATTCCTCTGTTGATGTGAGTAGTGCAAGCACTAAAGCAAGCCTGCCTCTTTAGAGCCCAAGAACTACCTACCTCCGTACCTTGGTACCCTCATTATTATGGGTCTTCACATCCACTCATTCCACCTCGTCTCTTGTTCCTAAAGGAGCAATATGTAAGCAGTGCTAGTCTATCCTGCAACCTGCAGCATTGATCAGGGGACGGGAAAAGGCGACGAGAAAAAAATAGAAAGAAAAAAAAAAGAGGCGACACAACGGCAAGTCAATCAAGGAAAAAAAGAAATTATATACGGACGGAGTACCTCAGCTCGCATAGTGTCGGAGCAAATTCCCATGCCTCTGCATAATGATTGATTTTCCACACGGACTGTTTAGCTTGCCACGCCAACTCCATCGATCGTCGGTGGATATCTTGGTTAATTCTTCTTCAAGGTACAAGGTTAACGTACTCCGTAGTTGGAAGCAACCCATTGAGTGTGAGGTAGGCCGGTAGCAAGTCTTTGTCTCCAGCTGGTGTAAGCACGAAGAAGAGCGCCTCCTAAGCTCCGATTCATCAAGTCATTTCTTTGTTTCGCCGCCAGGTATACGAGACTCGGCTATAATAGCCTTCGAGATGCTGAAGTATGTCTCAGCGGGATCACCATGAGACATTTGTTGGCACGAGGAAACATCATTGCTGAACTTTGATCGTAAGCTCTGGATCTAGGTCGAGAGATACTTTGGGTCCTCTGGATGGGTCGATCGTCCAGCAATAGGTATAAGGCTACTATCTCCGTGCCATCAGTCCACATGCCCATACTCAAGACCTCGAATGTAGATGGAATTTTCACCTAGATTGTAGTCATGACGGAATTATCACCACCTCTGTCATGCCAGCAGGTGGACAACACTCTGCACGTTCCTGCATTGTCCTGTCGAGGCGGTTTCGACTTCTCTTTGCTTTTTGAGGAGCTCGTCCTGGGGATCCTGCCGCTGGGGATCGTCCTGATCATCGCACCGTTTCGTCTCTGTCACTTGTTCCGGAGACAAGCAAAAGTTGTAGCGTCGTGGTTCTTGTGGGCGAAGATTGTACGTTTCTCCAACCTCTTGTGCCTAGAGTGCAGTCACTTTGTGAATTCCCAGACGTTGCTTACCATTTCCCTTTTTGTCGATGCTTGGCAGACTGCGTGGATTGCCTTAGGCATCGTTCAGCTGGTCCTCACAGTCTATTGGGCTCTTCCAGCTACGACCAGAACCCAGGCTTCGATTGCAGCAAACGCGATCACAGCTGCAGGCCTTTTTATCCTAGGTCTTTTGTCTTGTGCTGAACACCTACGCTCAACTACACCATCCTTCCTCCTGAACATCTACCTTTCCGTCACTTTGCTCTTTGACATAGCAAAGACAAGAACACTATGGCTGCGCGGCATTGGCCAAACAGACGAAACAATTGCCATCCTGACCTCGGTCACAGTTGGGATCAAGCTTCTTATTCTCATCCTTGAGGCTGTGCAGAAGAGGCACATTCTCAGAAAGGAGTACTCGGGGTATCCTCCCGAAGCAACAGCAGGGATTTTCAATCGCTTGTTCTTCGTATGGTTGAATCCGTTGTTTCGATCTGGATGCTCCAAGATCCTCGCCGTCGACGATCTTTTTGACCTCGATAAGCAATTGGGTTCCAGACGACTGTACAGCACCTTGGAGACTCTCTGGGACAGAGGTACCATCCTGAAGTCTAACTCTCTGCTCAGATATACCGTACTGACAAAAGTTAGTCCCTAGGAAGAAACCAAATACATTGCTTTTCATCTCCTTCAAAACATTCAAATGGCCTCTTTTTTTAGCTGTGCCTCCAAGAGCATGCCTGGCCGCCTTGAATTTCTGTCAGCCATTGCTACTACATCGATCCCTGGCCTTCTCCACGGAACCGGTGAACAATCACACAAATAGCATCGGATATGGTTTGATAGGTGCTTACATCCTCGTTTACACTGGAATGGGTGTAAGTCCGCGGGTCTTTCCAATTTGCAATACATGGCCTTCTAACGTTGAACCGCCTACACTAGGTTACGATGGGCCAGTACCAGCATATGACATATCGCACCATTACCATGGTTAGAGGAGGTGTCATCTCGATGATCTACAACAAAGCAAGCAGGCTAGGTGTCAAAGATGCCGATCCCGCTGCATCCCTCACCTTGATGAGTGCGGACATTGAAAGGATTGTTCAGGGCTGGCAAACAATCCATGATATTTGGGGCAATGCTGCTGAAATAGCCCTGGCAATTTACCTGCTGGAGAAGGAGTTGGGTGTCGCCTGTGTGGTCCCTGTAGGAGTTGCAATTGGTAAGACTAGCATTTCTCTCCAGTTTTTCCAAAGAACCAACTGACCGTGACCAGTGGCCCTTGTCGGATGCCTTATCGCACTGTCTTTTGTGATGGCTAGGCAGGCAGTGTGGCTTGAAGCCATTGAAAGGCGCATCTCATCCACCGCTTCGATGCTTGGCTCCATGAAGGGAATCAAGATGTTGGGTCTCAAGTCTGCCATTATGAAAAGCGTACACGGTCTGCGGCTGGAAGAATTAGACATTTCGAAGAGATTTCGAAGACTTTTAGTCTGGAATATGGCTCTCGGTATGTTGATCTCATTGTAGGGAGTGATTTTCCTGATCTCTAATAGTTCCATGCAGCTTGGACAACTCGCATCTTTGCCCCCATCTTCGCACTCGGAGCTTTCTATGGTATATCGCATAGCAGAGGAGATGATTCTGCGTTTAATATGTCCACAGCTTATACATCCTTGTCACTCTTTGCACTACTAGCGGATCCACTCCTTTCTCTTGTCATGGCTCTCATGACGTTTGTCGGTTCTATTGGTTCTTTCAGCCGTATTCAGGAATTCCTTGAGAAAGATGATCATATTGATTGCCGGCGTAAGCCTTTACACGCCTCTTATGATAGCTTTGAGCCCAAAGCTTTCGTTCTCGTGGAGGATTCGGACGTCACGATATCTGAAACCGCTTCGGATCGGTCGATCAATCGTGCACCATCCTCAGTGTATCAAGATGCACTGACAATACGGAATGCAACGTTTGCCTGGGATATCGAGAAAGAGCCTGTACTAAAGGGCTTAACAATCACCATCTCGCGGGGAAGCTTCACCCTGATCGTTGGGCCCTCCGGCTGCGGCAAGTCAACGTTGCTGAAGGCTATTCTCGGCGAGGTGCCATGCGTGAACGGGGATATAAGACTATCATCCAACAGCGTCGCATTTTGCGACCAGACACCGTGGCACATGAATTCAACGATCCAGGAGAGCATCGTCGCCATGTCGAATTTTGACAAAGAGTGGTATGCAAGTGTTGTACGTGCTTGTGCTCTTGTCCCAGACTTTGAACAATTACCACGAGGAGACGAGACAGTGATTGGGAGCAAGGGAATTGCTCTGAGTGGAGGGCAAAGCCAACGAATTGTAGGTACGGTGCTCTCTGGTACGAAGTCTCGCTAACATGATAAACGATCATAGGCACTTGCAAGAGCTGTGTATGCTAGGAAAGATACTGTCATCCTCGATGATGCATTCAGCGGCTTGGATGCGGCCACAGAGGACTACGTTTTCCACAGTCTCGTTGGCATCCATGGCTTACTACGCAAAATTGGCTCGACGATCATTGTTGCTTCATCGTCCGGTGTGTCACCTAGTATCATCGATCAAATTTCCAGGTCCATACTAATTATATGCGCATAATTACAGCCAAAAGACTACCTTACGCCGATCAGATTGTGGTGCTGGACAAATTGGGCCATGTGTCAGAGCAAGGAAGCTTCAAGGCACTCGACGCTGCTGGAGGATATGTCTCAAGCTTCGGATTGGGCTTGCCTGAATGGAAGTCCAAAATCGATAGGCCTTTTGTAACCGAACTTTCTCAGCCGAAGATTTCGCGATCCAGTAAGGCAGAGGCAATCAAAGAAGACCCACGAAGGCAGAGCGGCGACTTGTCGATCTACTTGTACTACATTCAATCAATCGGCTGGCTGCCCACGGGGATCTTCCTAGTGGCTATCTCAGGATTTGTGTTTTGCATATCTTTTCCAAGTACGGTTCTGTAACTCTGCCATTAGTGTCTCATGCTGACCGACATGACAGGCATCTGGGTCAAATGGTGGGCTACCTCAAATGAGGAAGATCCCAATGGCCGTACCGGATATTATCTCGGAATCTACGCAATGCTCGGCGCTGTCGGCATGCTTTCTCTTATCATCGGCTGCTGGTGAGAAAGCCCTAACTCCCAGACATGAGCGAGAAACTAACATGCGTTGCAGGGAGATGGTGATCAACATGGTACCCAAATCTGGTGAAAGCTTTCATAGAAGGTTGTTAGCAACGGTTCTGAGGTGCGTCATGTTGCTTCATCCTCCATAGATGTCTCTAATTCTTGATAGCGCGCCCATGTCGTTCTTTGCGGCAACGGATAGTGGCTCCATACTCAATCGATTTAGCCAGGACTTGCAGCTCATTGATATGGAGCTCCCAGTTGCAGCGATCAACACATTTGCCAGTAAGTGCGCCACGCTATCATGAATTCAGGAGGCCGCTCACCATACATTCTCTAGCTTTGGTTCTCTGTCTCGCCCAGATGATCTTGATGGGCATTGCTTCCAGATATGCAGCTATCTCGTTTCCATTGGTGATTCTCACCGTATATTTAATTCAGAAGGTATATCTTCGGACTTCACGGCAGCTGCGATTCCTGGACCTTGAAGCCAAGGCACCTTTATACTCTCACTTCAGCGACTGCCTCAACGGCTTGGTGACTTTGAGAGCTTTCGGCTGGCAGCGAGCCCTGGAGGACAAGAATCTTGAGCTGCTTGACTATTCGCAGAGACCATTCTATCTCTTGTACGCTATTCAGCGTTGGCTAACTCTGACGCTGGACATGGTCGTAGCGGCAATCGCCGTTATACTGATTGTCCTCGTGGTGACATTACAAGGGACAATTAGCGCAGGTGACGTTGGCGTGGCGTTGTTGAATGTGATATTGTTCAGCCAAAGCATCAAGCTGCTCGTGACCTTCTGGACAAATCTTGAGACCCATATTGGCTCCATCGTGCGTATCCGCTCTTTCACCGAGAGTGTCAGCTCAGAAGACTCGCCCACTGAGAAGGATGATGTGCCTCCCAACTGGCCCTGGGGAGGGGATATTGAATTCAAATCCGTGTCCGCAGAGTACAGGTATGCAGATTACCTGCAAGCTATAGATACCCACTAACGCTATATCAAGACCCTCAGAGCCAGTCCTGCGTGATGTGTCTTTGACGATTCGATCAGGAGAAAAAGTCGGGATATGCGGGAGGACAGGCAGGTAAGTCCAGTCTAATCACCTACTCAGACCGAGCCAAAATCTGATTACAACGACTGCAGCGGCAAAACCTCACTGATCATGAGTCTCTTCCGAATGGTCGAGCTCAGCTCCGGAAGTATCCATATCGACGGCGTCGACATCACTAAGATCCCCCGTCAAGAGATCCGCTCACGAATCAACAGCGTATCTCAAAGCCCGCTCCTGATCAAAGGCACCATCAGACGCAACATGGACCCCGAAGGCTCCCACCCCGAGAAAGCGATCATCAAAGCCCTGCAGACTGTGGGGCTACACAACAAGATCCAGGAGAACGGCGGGCTAGACACCGACATCAACGAGCTTTTCCTCTCGCAAGGCCAACAACAGCTCTTCTGTCTCGCGCGAGCAATCCTCCGGCCGGGCAACATCCTCATCCTAGACGAAGCTACAAGCAAGTACGTCAGCATTGTCCCTCTTCTCTTTTTACCTCTGCTCATAGGATATCAAACTGACCATACCCAACACAGCGTCGACACGAAAACAGACGAAATCATGCAAAGAGTCATCAGAGAGAAATTCAGCACCCACACCATCCTAGCCGTCGCCCATAAGCTCGAGACGATACTCGACTACGACAAGGTCGTTGTCCTTGACGCGGGCCGTGTCATGGAATGCGGGGATCCATGTACCCTTCTCTCCACAGAGAGCTCCTACTTCAGCAGGTTGTATGCGAGCTCGATGGCGGAGGAGGTGGAGTAGATTGCTGACGTTTGGCTGAGCCACCAGCACATGATGCGCGATTCTAGGTTTTCGATGCTTTATAAGTACGGTTGGGAGGGGTATGACCTACGCATTAATGACTATAATAATGACTCTGAACATCAATGGCTTTTCGGGCAACAGTAGTACTCAACTTCTCATACATGCCTGCAGCGACATATGGCCTCGACCACATTAGTCTCGTCAAGCGGTCAAATAGGTAGAATTCTCGTTCACGCGCTTGGTGTTGTCTACAACCAAGACTACGTAGCATTCCACAACCAAGGACGCGTGTCATCGAGATGAAAATGCAAGTATTCATTCCCACTCCTGAACATGACTATGACTACCCAGTACTGCTGCTTAAACATTCAATAACAGAAACGAGGAGGCAGATGAGAAGGGGGAGAGAAAAACATTATCCATCCTATTTGCACCATATGTTGTAATTTGCGATCAATCCAAGTCAGAATCAGTAAGTGTGAAGTCATGAAGCTCTTATCTTTTATCCGCGACACGCAAAGGAGTGTAAGCAATCAAGTTCGAAGTGCGAAGCCTTGAGTCTTAACTCGTGAAGAACAATAGATTGTTTGACGTCGGCGCATCTTAGGAAAGGAGCATTGTATCATCATTATCTGCTTCAGGCGCGTCAAGAAGGCCGAATTCCCAGTCTCCTCTTTCGATTCTGCTGACTCGGTCGAGCTCGGACTGGTACTCGCGACGTAGGTGGTCGAGAGTCACTATGACTCGTCGTTGGGGGTGGTTGTTGACACCTGCACCGGAGGCTGAGGACTTGCTGTCTCTGCGACCAGAAGGTTTGATGGCGCCTGTGCTGGAGCTGAGCCTGCGTTTGGATCCGTCGGGGATAAGAGAGCTGCTATCTGCATCGTCCATGAACACGTTGCCATCATCGTCCGCTTGAACGCTGCGGCGCCGGACCACAGAGGTGGAAGACACGGAATCTTCCTTCTCGACGAGGATGTAGGCTTCACTGCTGTCAACGCAGCGAAGCAGGTTGATCAGAGACAGAAGCTCGTTGCGAATTTCCTTGCTCTCCGGGTCATCCTCCTCAACCGTATGCCGCACATCGTCAGTATCTCTGCCTTTTGCCAGAACCAGATGATTCGACGGGCTATCTCTAGCATGTCTCAAACGTTGGACGTTTCGATACGCGATTTCGGCGGCTCCGCGATAATCATTACGGGCGACACGGTATGCTTGCAGGATCCGCTGATAATCCGGTGTGGTGTCGGCCCACTTTGTTCCAGCTTCCAGTAGAGAATTAAAGGACGTTTGCTTCCGGGCAAGGGAGACAAGTGTGTCATCCACATGAGTAGCGATATTTGGGAGGAGAGATGTGGGAAAGTGTAGGATTTGCTGAAGTCCAGACAGGCCTGGTCCAGATGCATTCAATACGCCGGTGATAAGAGAGGTGAGGGCGGATCTCTGCAGCGCATGATCCTCGTATCGAGACATTGCTGAATATGCCTGGTCAAATTGACAGGTCTTCAAGGACGCATAGAAAAGACGCGAGAGCAGGTCGGTGCGCATGCTAACGCGCTCCGGGTCCTTTTCATTCCTATTCTCACTTGCGAGCGCTTGCAGTGCAAGGCTGGCAAAGTCTGCAACGTGGGAAAACGAACGTGCCTGTTCGAATATGGACAAGATATGTTGGAAGTATTTGGGAAGACCGTTGTGGAAGCAGTCTACGGAGACGATGTCCAGGAGCGTTGATGACATCTCATGCAAGTTGCCGAGAGGTTTACCACATGCTGTAATACGTTAGAGACGGTTGGAATGGGCGTTCACAGTGAAGTATATACTTACAGAGAAGGTATGCAGCCTTACGGAAGTACAAAGCCGCAGTGTCAAATTCGGACATTGCCACATATAAACGACCCTTCACATAGGTTGCCCATGATGTGGTTGCTTGGAAGCGGAGGAAATCCCAGGCAAGGTCAATGTTGTTCTTCGCGATCAGATCGCACTGAATGTAAACCAATGCGTTCGGGTAGGCTACCTCCCCTTGGCGAGTCACCCAGGAAAGAACATCTCGAATACCGAGTGTCAGCGTGTAGCTCTGGGGTAAGCCAACGGCTTGGCGAGGTTTAATATCAGTGGCGAACAGATCCTCCAAGATAGTCACCACTCGCTCGCCATTGCCCTTGGGTGTGGAGTCTTTCAGGGAGAACGTCGAGTTCGACGTGTCGCTGATGACACTTGGGGGCTTGTCGACACACTTCCGGACATTCGAGCTGAGCCAAGACATCATTTCGTATTCCCTCAAAAGAGCGATCAGCGTAGCGAAAAGGTCACCAGCATCGAAAGTAGACGCATCCTCCTGCTGCACCTCTCCGTCCACAAAAACCACGATGAGTAAAAGGTCGATGAGCAGCTGCCGTGTGTTCTCAATGGTCTCCTGAGCGCCGTTAACTGTTACTTTCACTCCGAAATGAGTAGGAAGAAGTTCGGAATCTTTGCCGGGGAAACCGAGCGGGATCGTGTCAATGATGGTGTAGAAGACATCATTCGACAAGTTGTAAATATTCAAGCGTTCATTCATTGCAGCAAGCAGGCCGTCGTAAGTTTTGTTGGAAATCTGCTCAGCAAAGTCGCACCGCTCACGGAAGGCATCCATGCGATCGGGGATGGAAGACGAAGGCTCCGCATAGACTTCTGCTTCAAGGGCACTGTGGCACGCTGCTTCGAGTTCAGAGGGGAAACGCTTCCTGAAGCCGGATGCAACCCTCAACAAGAAAGATGCTTGTTCGAACAAATCGCCAATCTCTGAGCCCAGGTTCCTGTGGCTCCACCGATCGGCTATCTTGGGCCCTTCTGTCCGAAGCTCGGAGTCTGAGTTATGCAGGAGCAACTCGGTAGGGCTACATTCGCGAATGACTGCACAGCTGTCCGAGAAAAGCATCCATGGAACTTCGTTGTAGACATCATACGCGAGGCTAATCGGTTCGAACCTTCGCTTATTGATGTCCTCCGCGATCTGCCAGAATTGGCGCCATTTGGAGTCTGTGTCTGCCCGGTACCTTGTAAAGTCCATATCATCCTCCGCATACTTACGAAGGGAAACTGTAGCGGCAATCGTGGAACACAGTCGTTCTTGAAGAGGGGCGCTTTTCTTTGCTGCAGTAGGAAAGGACAGGGGCCGAAGTGCTTCCTGATAGACAGACAAAGCAGTCTCAAGTACCTCCGGCGAGTATCGGTTCGGTTGTAAAAGGAAGCTCAACCACTTCTCCGTCGGGTCCACAGCATCCTCCGATGTAACAGTCGGTAGTGATGCCTGTACCCGTGTGTCCATGGCCGTAGACACCCAATTCGTCGCCCAATCTGTCGCCAGCGTCTCGAAGCTGAAATGCAGTGTATACAATTGGTACACGCTGTTATTTCTCCACAGCACCCACAGCTCCATACGCTTCCCTTCCTCCATGGGCTTGATCTGGAAATCGGCGATACTCCAAAACATGCTCCCTGTTGGATCCGGATCCAATGGCATCAGTGCAGCGCCAGGAAAGAGGTCCTCGACGACCAGCTGCGACGTCAGGCCTCCTTTGACAGCCCAGAATTTGAAGCGTCCATCCTCGAATGGCGAATAGGTGACTATGTAGTAACGATAACCACCATCCAGCGCTCTCTCCACATTAAACACACGAATAAACGATGATTCGGCGGGGTTTAACGAGTATGAGGCAGATTCCTGCTGTTGTACTTGTCGGTCCAAGAGATCCTTCGTGGCGGCTAGTTTGTTCGTAGCGAGGTTCCATATCTTCAGAGTGTGGTTCAAGCAGACTGCAAACGCATAAGTTTGATCGGATGTAGTGGCGATCGCATTGGCCGCGTTTACATCGAGGTTGCGCCCCTGGTACTTGATCGTGGGTTGCGCATGCCACCGGACGAGACCGCGAATCGACGCCCCCCAGGTTCTCTCGTCAAAGGTCAGAGGAGTCCAATATGAGCCTTTCAGAGCACAAGAAAGTTAGTACAACACTTCCAGCATTGGGGAGAAAGCAACCGGGAGGGGAAATACCGTCGTCACCAGCCCTCCTAGTCAGGCGCAGCAGCGCGCCGCTATCAAGGGAAATAAACAACTCGAGCGGACTGCTCGCATGTAACCGATGGGGATGAGAGAAAGCCAGAGGTGCCGGTGTGCAGGATTTGCACCAGTCAGATACATTCTCGTCAATTGCCGCTAGTCGTCGAAAGAACTCCGGGCGCAGAGTCAATGTGTGTAGCTGCTTGGAAGCCGTGATCACAAACACACTCAACACGTCGTGATCCTCCAAGTCGGCGAAATCAACACCGGACGGAAGGATCTCTTCCTGGAAGTCCAAGCGTAATGTGACATCGTATTCATGATGCTCAATTCCTCCTTTTGTCAAATCCACGCACTGGATTTCCAGGACCTTGTTGTCATTAACCACCCGCCAAAGGAACGTTCGGGGATACACTCTGTGTTTCCGGAAGTAAATTGACCCCTGTGTAGCTAGGTATCGGCGAGAAAACGCCTCCTCATCTTTCGCTGCTGGTTCTTCATGGCTGGCGAAGGATGAGGCTATCGAAAACCGGGCGCGGTTCTGCGGGCTCTCTTGGTTTGGAATCGGGATGTTGGCGACGGTGTTCGGCGAGTACGGCCGAAGGTCGACTCTGGTGTCCTTGTATATTTTCGCCATGGCAGATTGTCACTAGACCACCTTCCACGGATATGTAAATGGTGACCTCAAGCCTCCATGGCCAGTTATCGAGGCGGATGGAATGGGATGTCTTGCGATTTGGCGGAGTTGAAAGGCGGAAGGTGAAGCTCTTTTGCTGCTCAAAAAAACAGGGTCTTGGCGCGGGTTGCAGCAACGCGACATTAGTGTTGACCGATATCACCAGCAACAACAATGATCAATTTGACTCAAATTGCACTTGATTGCAAAGGGACCTTTGCCCCTCCAAGATAAGAGCATAGAAGAAAACTCCCTGTGCCGCTAAAGTTTACGTCTTAC